CCGGTGACTAGCCTTTTTCTCAACACCTGTCTTGAATTTATAGTAAAGGTGCCACAGAATATTTATCCCACACCAGTGTTTTCTTTTTCTGAATGGAGCACAAAGTTAAAATCAGTCTCTTCTCTCTAACCCTTTGCTGCACATTGCTGTTCAGCTTGCAGAAAATCTCGTGGTGTCAAAATTAAAATCTGTTTGTTGGTAGAGATACAGTGAAGATATCTGCTGAATTCAAAAGGGAGAAAAAGACCAAATGAGACTTTTAATTGTGTCTATTCTTATAATATAAATAATTATTTTAATGTTTCAAAACTTTGGAGCAGCGTAGAGATTTTGTAAGGGAAAGTTCACCTGCTACATTTGCTTTAACTATTTGATTATTTTTCAGTCTGTACATAAAAAGGAATAGATATACCTTAGTAGTTGTCAGAGAATGTGTTTTATGACAGTCACTTTATGGGGGATGTTACGAAAGTGAAGTGTTTAATGGCAGCGAATGGTTTTTGTTCGGACCTGTGTTAAGAGAGCACATGTTTAATAAAACGGAGTGCTGAAACAATAACAAGGAACTCATCATTTTAGAATAAACTGACAAGTTTATTACATGGTGTCAGAAGTGGCGGAGCTATGGCAAAGTTTCAACCACCGGAGAGTTTTTGTTTTGAGAACCCGGCGGAGTGGCCTGATTGGAAAAGAACGGTTTTCCCGTTACAGGACGGCAACTAAACTGGATAAGGAAGATGGTCCGGTTCAAGTGAGCACGCTGGTTTATGCACTCGGCAAGGAAGCGGAGAACATACTGAGCTCTTTTACCTACGGAGAGGGTGAAAATGAAGATCAGTTTGACGTCGTTATGGCAAAGTTTGATGCCTACTTTATTCCGAGACGCAACGTTATCCACGAACGGGCTTGTTTCAACCAGAGAGTGCAGCATGTTGGTGAACGCGCAGAGACATTTATCCGAGCACTGTACGAACTATCAGAGCACTGTGAATTTGGGGCGAACCGAGAGGAACACATTAGAGACCGGATCGTGGTCGGCATCTCGGACAAAGAGCTGTCACAGAAGCTGCAGCTCATCCCGAAACTCACTCTGGATGTGACGGTACAGGAGGTACGGCAGTCCGAGGAGGTGAAAACACAGGTTAACAAGCAGGGAGAACGAGTCTGTGCTGTCCAAGAAGTTGCGCAGAAACATGGCGCCGTGCGGGTTAAAGACTGGAGACAGTGCAAGCAGACATATAAAGACAGTGACCGCAGGAAATGTGGACGACGCGGCAAAACACCGCATAGCCAACATGGTAAGTGTCCAGCAAGACAGTCCACGTGCAACAGATGTGGAAAAAAGGTCACTGGGAAAGAGCATGCAGAAGCAGGCTGGTGAGTGAAGTTACGGAGGATGATGAACAAAATAAACATTATTACCTGGACTCAGTTAATGGTACATCAGAAAATGATGATAAATGTACAGTAACACTGGATACTGAAAATAAGCCAGTGAAATTTAAAATTGACTCGGGAGCTGACTGCAGTGTTATGAGTGAGACTGTGTATAAAACACCAAAGAGAATCCTACACAAGACAAAGAAACTACTGAGTGGTCCCGGGGGTGGTTTGAACTGTTTGGGGCAGTTTACAACACAGACTGTATACAAGGGCAAAACATACATGTTCAGGCTTTATGTTATTCGAGGTGAGAGTGTGAACAACCTGCTCAGTAGGCCAACATCTTTAGCAATGGGACTATACCCCCATACCCCTATTAAAAGCAGTGCAGGAGGAGCGTGACCGAATGGAGACAAATGACATCATCGAGGCTGTAACAGAACCAACGGAGTGGTGTGCACCGATGGTGCCGGTCCCGAAAAAGAATGGAAAGGCACGCATCTGTGTCGACCTAAAGAGACTAAATAAAGCTGTTAAAAGAGAGAGGTTCATTCTGCCCACAGCAGAAGAGAGGATAGCCTAGCTGGGTGGGTCCACAGTTTTCTCTTCTCTGGACGCAGCTTCTGGATTTTGGCAGATCCCTCTGGACAAGGACAGCCAGAGACTAACCACTTTCATAACACCTTATGGAAGCTATTGCTTCAAGCGTCTCCCTTTTGGGATCACAAGCGCCCCAGAAATATTCCAAAGGAAAATGGGAGAGACTCTCAAAGGGCTGCAGGGAGTTGCAGCCTATATGGATGACATCATCGTCTTCGGGAGGGACACGGGTGAGCACAATGAGTGCCTGCAGAAAGTAATGGCGCGTCTAGAGTCAGCAGGCCTGAAGTTAAACAAATGCACAGTGAGAGAGACTGAGTTACATTTCCTGGGCTAGGTGATCAACAAAGATGGTGTGTAATTTAAGAAAATGTCAAAACATGAAAATTGACAAATGAATAGTAATTGGACCATCCTTGTTTTGGTGCTTCAAGAAGGGTGCAAAGATATCCGTTTGCACCACCATATGGTTTTCATTGTGATAATTCAGTCCAATGTTTTATGCACTTTCCTTTCCTAAAATAATGTTGTTACAGTGGTTTATTTTGAGGGTAGTCTTAGTTTTTGTAAAAGAAACTAAAACAGGGTCTAACATCCTGTAGTGTCCACACTGATTAAACACTTAACCTGGAAAAAGACAGTGTGAGTGAAGGTGAGCTACTAAATAAAACAGGTTCAGTAAAGAAAAACACATAACATGAAAGAATGGGAGTAATATATGCAATATTAGTTAGTTATAAACAATCTTTATAAATTAGATGAATATGAGAGTTATCTCTAATAACTGGTCTTTGTTTTTTTTTTATTATACTTAATAGTTACATTATAAAGATAACTGTGTTTTGCTGCTGTATGTCAATATAAATGCTTTGTTTTTTTACATAAATGTCTTTATTTACTAACAGTTAATCATAAATTATTGAATCTGTTTTTAGGTTAATGCTTCCCACATGTGAGTCAAATAATTGAGTTCCTCCTGCAGGTGTTCAACCAACATGCAAACTCTTGCTGAAAATTTGCTCTTATTTGACTTCTTCAACTTTTGGCCATTCTTTTCTGTGAAATAGTGATCAAATTCATAAGCAAAATTTTTAAGCAGACTTCCAGACGACATCCCTCCAGGACTGGTGGGAGACATCTGCCTGCTTCTGTACATGTTGTTGCTGAACACAGCCATAGACAGATCCACCATTCTCAGGGCATCTGGGTTTGCTCCGACCTTCTTTAGCTTGCCAATGTTGTGTCTTTGCAGCTCCTTCATCACAAAAAGGATGAAATTCAGGCAACGCTCCAGGTCGACAACATCTTCTTTGTAGTCATTTACAAGCTTCAAAACCATTTCACGGTTAACAGTCTTTTTGAATACTTTGTCCAGTTTTTCACAGATGGCCTGAAACTTTTTAAGGGTGTTTATCATGCTTTTTTCACGTTTTATCATGAGCAGTTGGTAGAGGCGCCGGGCCTTTCTCACACGATTTGCCTGCTGAGTGAAGGACCTGTGGGAAAAGACAACAGAGGTTCAGCAATGTCCAAAAGCAGTACTCTGTCACACTAATCAGAGCGTAAAGGAAGTTGATGAAAAGAGGTTCAGGTGCTAGTTTAAGTTTGTTACCTGATTTCTTCCTCCTCACTGAGGCCAAACTGTGTGAGGTTATCTGGTTGTCCTGGAAGGAACCCATTACATTTTGATTAGCTGAAACGTGCTTAAACATATAAAAGCACATAAAAGCTTTGCATCAGAGCATGTGAGCAGATCTGAGCATGGAGCGAGCGGTGGAATGGAGTTGAAGAAATATGGGGGAGCGCAGAGTGGTTTTCATTTCAAAGGCTGGAGAGAGGATTTCACTTCGATGTGAGGTGTTACGTTCACAGTTGATAAAACAGTGCGATAATTTAACAGCCAGTTAAATAATACAATACACATGTATCGGTCACATCATTAAATCAAACACTGTGTGTCCCAGGTCCCTGACAGAGCAGATTTCGAGGGGAGCGAATGAGTGATCATCTTCCTGAGCGGGGGGGGGGGGGGGGGGGGGGGGGGGGGGGGGGGGGGGGGGGGGGGGGGGGGGATTGTACGGCGCTCCGCTCTGTTCACATGCTCTGCTCTGTATACATACTTTGATCAGTTGCACTGCCTCTTTCAGTTTCTGCTTAATCTTAAAGGATTTCACACATAGTCTCACAGTAAAGCACACTCTGATACAGGGCAGAACTGTACTGTATTCTATGCCTGTAAAGCTGGCCAAGTACTAGTGGGATGCAGCATCCCCAGATCCTTATACCTCCATCCTCATGATTTAGTGTTTGTATGAGATTCTTTATTTCTGAAAGGCTGTATTTGCTTTTCCGGAGTCCAAAATGATTTAGAGGAATATATCCAAAGAAAATTATTTAAAAAGTTCCAGTCTTTGTTTACATTGTCTATGCAATTGTTAGTCTGGACGTTCCATGAAAACTAGTTACGCAGACAACCACTTGCACATAAATAGAAGCAACAGCCCACCCTTGAGGGCAGGTTTGAGTTTTTAGAGAATTCTTTTAGCACCTTACTGTCTTCTTCCAGGATAAAAATGTTTGGATGAACAAGCTGAACTATCTAAGTATTTAAATGATACAGTTTACAGCAGCTTGTTTGGAGAAGCGGTTCTCCACCAGCTACCAATAGGAGCAGTCAGGGCATATGGGCAATGAATATGGGAGAAAGGGTTCAGGTTGATTTCACACTATAGAACAAATAGTTTCGTACTTCCTTCTGAAGTTAAAGCTGTGACATTTGTGGCTAATGTTGCATGAACTCATGTTCCCCCCCCCCCCTTTCACTTTAAAACAGAGTTGAGAACAAAGTGCTTGACACTTTACGTAGGCAAGTAATATTTAAAAAATGATGACCCTACTCTACAAACATTACATGTGTGTCATGATCTTTGCACTGATGACTGGCTTAATTGCTCATTTCATTCACCTGTCCAAATTGTGCCCGGTTTCTCATTACCTCTCATCTTATCTACATGCTCCTGCCTCTATTTAAGGTGCTTGCATCCAGTAATCTGGGCAAGATTATTCTTTTTTTCTCGTGCCAGTGTTGAGAGGATTTTTAGTGTACCTTAGGGTTTATGATTTCCTGATCCTGACCTGTTCTTTCTCTCAACCACTGAGCCTACCTGTTTCCATCTGAATGGTTTGCCTGATCTGTCTTTGGACTCCTGGACCTCTGTGTCTGCCTGTTCCTGTTCTGAACTGTTTGCCTGACCTGGCTTCAGACTCCTGCTTGTTCCCCGCGGCTGCAGCATCTGGAAAATACTGGGCGACACCCGCTGAATCTTGTTACCAGCCCACCAGCTGGATCCTACCTTGTTCTATGGGCAGAGACTGAACTTGCAAACGAGGTTAGTGACTCATGTTCATAATCTTCCTCTATTAGATTATCATGGTCACTAACCTGTGTTTCCCCTGTCCAGTGTTTCCAGCATCAGACGCCCTAGCCTCTGCTTCTGCAGAACCGCAGCCCGTTTATCTTTTTGAGTAATCCCACTGTCTGTCTTGCGTGAATACTGGATCCTCTGTTCGGAATTTATGACAATGTGTCTATGTACTGTTGTCATAGATTGTGAGCCTGCTGATCTATGAGCTGTTGTGACCCTTGTACTTGACACATTCCTCATTGTGCTACGTTCACACCGGACGCAGCAAAAGCAGCAAAATCGCGTCTGCTGTTTCCTTTTTGCTGCTTGTACCAGTTAGTTCAGACGCGTGGCTGAAGCAGCTTTGCTGCTCTGGCTGCGCGGTGCAAAAGTGTGTCTGACGCGCGTTGGGCGGAGCTTCACTATCCTTTTTCTGCCTTGCAGCTATATTTGCTGTGATCAGTGGGAATAAAGTAGTTTTAAT